CCTGAGCCAGGCTCAATGCTTGCACTGAACGCTGATCGAGAGCACGTCACTCGGTTACTTAGACAAGTCGAGGGTCTTGAGGTGGCATGTTTCAACGGTCCCAGAAGCCACGTTGTCGTTGGTTCTGCTAAGGCTATCCGAGACGTAGAGACTTTGATCACTCGTAATGAGATGATGCGAGGCTCGATTCGTTGTCAGACTTTAGATGTCACCCACGGGTTTCATTCGCTACTCACGGAACCCCTGCTTCAACAGCTTTCAGACCTTGCGGAGGGTCTTTGTTGGAAAACTCCAACGATTGCCCTTGAAGTTTGCAGCGACAAGCAGAATGATCGTATGCCTGGTTCTCAACTTGTCGTGGAACATATGAGAGGCCCGGTATGCTTCCAACATGCAATCGAGCGACTTGTGCAGAAATATCCCCAAGCTACCTGGATTGAGGCTGGACGAGGGACCTCGGCCATCCAGCTTGTTCGGTCATGCGTTCAACCTCAAGACGGTCACACTTTTATGGGCCCACAGTTGACTGCTTTGACTGCTCAAGATTCTCTCGTTGATGTTACGATTAAATTGTGGAGGGAAGGACACAATGTGCAATACTGGCCATTCCACCGGCGTCAGAGACATCAATATCAAGCCCTCAGCTTGCCGCCGTACCAGTTTCAGAAGACTCGACATTGGTTACCTTATATCGGTCTAAAACACGGTGCAGAAAGTCCCGCTCGGCCCTCGACGGAAGATCCGGAGCCTGAGGAGTTCCTGTCTCTCATCAAAGGCGAAAGTTCGACGAAGAGCTACTTCAGGATTTCAGCCAAAAGTGAGCGCTTCCAATCCTTGGTGAAGGGACACATCATGTGCGAATATGCGAGCATGCCGGCTTCGGCGTACATAGAGGCCGTCTCCAGAGCTGCTCTGAAGCTTCAACACTCGGACGTCGCCGCATGGAGGCCCACAGTCGAAGATCTCACTATGAAAGCACCGGTTGTTTTAAAACTGGACGAAGAGCCTCCTGAAATTCTTCTAAGTATGCGACGCGTCGACAGCTCTTGGCCGTCATGGGTCTTCTCTATTATGGTGGAGCCCACACAGAAGGCCGGCGAAAGCAGGGTTGAGGCGCAGGAGACAACGACAGGCATGGTGCACCTTAGAGAGCGAAACGACTCAAGAGTCACACAAGAGTTCCGCCGATTTGAATCGCTCATCGGAGACTGTCGCTGGCAGAACATTACGAAGCATCCTGATGCGGAGGCCATGCAAGGGAAGCATATCTACAGAGCCTTCAATGGGGTCGTACAGTACTCAGATGACTTCAAAGGGATCAAGGCCATCGCCAGCCTGGGGAACGAAGCCGCAGGTGTGGTGAGATTCTCACCCAACAGCTATGGGACGCTCGATCAGCGACTTGTAGACACGCCAATGGTTGACAGTTTCTTACAATTCGGCGGCTTCTTAGTCAACTACTTCAGTACAACAGCAACGCCCGATAGCCTATTCGTCTGCCATCGCATCCAGCGTTTGCAGCTCGGTCCTGCTTTCTCACCGGATGTCAAAGATTGGCTTGTTCTTGCGAACATGACCACTGAAAACGATGAGAACATGTCTGTCGACGTTTATGTTTCTGAGGCACAGACCAAGAAGATGGTCCTCGTCGCATTTGGCATGGGCTTTACAAAGATATCTCGAACGTCCCTTACGAGAATTTTACGTGGCTCCTCTAAGGACTCAAACTTGTCGCCTGTCACTAGCAAAGAGGAGAAGACTCTCCAATCTGAAACCAATACGTCCGCAGAGGTCAGTACCAGAAATCTGGGCGGGTTTATCAGCAAACGTTCAGAGGTACTTAAAATCGCGGCTAGTATTGCTGATATTGCAGCCAACGACCTTACCGGCAAAGAGGCTCTCCCTGATATTGGCATCGACTCCTTGGGGGCCACTGAGATGATCGGTGACATCGCCTCGGCGCTGAGTGTGACAATCGATTTGTCTACGTTTTTACTATTTGCCGATATTAACGCCATCATTTCTCATATTGATAGAGAGCTAGGCTTGAGTTCTGCGAGTGAGGAAAGCGCAACATCTCAAGTCCCTCCTGAGTCACCGACAGGAAATGAAGGGTTGCAAAGCCTGTCAAACTTACCAAACCAACGGCCTGCAGAACGATCCCCGAGGGAGTTGAAAGACACACCAGGGCCATGCGCTGGGTCCAAGGCGAAGACAGAAGAACTTCCAACCATCAATTCCATTCACGAATCTTTTGATGAGGTGCGGCTCAGCTTTGACCGGCTCGGGGCATCGGCGAGCGCTCTCGACTATTGGTCTGAGATTCATCCCGGCGATGTTCGTCTAGTCCTGGCCTACGTATCGCAGGCTTTCCAGACCTTAGGTTGCGATCTACTGGCACTGAATCCTGGAGATACCGTGCCAATTGTGAAAGGCATTCTGCCTCGTCACCAGCAGCTCCTACATCGGCTGTACCGCTTTTTGGAAGACGAAAACATCGTAAAGTCTTCCGGGGACTGTTTCATCAGGACTAGCAAGCCCATGGACACCACATCAGGAGAACAGGTTTTTCAGCATATCATAGACAAACACCCCCTAAACGCTCCAATTCGTCATCTTCTAAGAGCTGTAGGGCCGCATCTCGCTGCATGTCTGGTTGGAGATCATGACGCCCTCCAAGTGCTCTTCGGCAACCGAGCAAACAAGAAGTGGCTTGACGATCTTTATCGAGAGTGGCCCATGTTGGTAACAGCCACTCATCTGCTGGGCGATTTCTTGTGTCGATCCTTCAGTCGTAGTAGCGGTTCTGGCCCGTTCCGCATCTTAGAAGTTGGAGCTGGCACAGGAGGCACAACGCGCCATGTCGTCGACTTACTGGTCAAAGTTGGAATCCCTTTTGAGTATCATTTCACCGACCTATCTGCATCGCTTGTCCAGAAGGCCAAGAATTATTTCGCAGGCATCAACGGCATGACCTTTGGGGTTTTAGATATCGAGAGCGAGCCGACTGCTGAGCTCACTGAGGCGTTCCACGTCATCATATCGACGAATTGCATCCACGCAACTAGGAACATAACCTCAAGCCTGGCCAATCTACGCAAGATGCTCCGTGAAGACGGTGCCCTTGCCCTGATTGAGATGACGCCAACTCGGCAGCTGTACGTCTTTGATATAATCGTCGGTCTGCTGGAGGGCTGGTGGCTCTTTAACGATGGTCGTTCCCACGCCTTGGCTGATGCGGAACATTGGCAACGGGCTTTTCTAAGCGCAGGCTTCGCAGATGTACAATGGTCTGATGGAAAGTCGCTTGAGTCCAAGACTGTCAGAGTGATCTGTGGGTTTCGGAAGCCTGGCTCTGGTCGACTTGGGACAGGCGCCGACAAGATCGAACGCGGTCAGGTAGAGATTGACGTGCAAGAAGTGGTCTACAAAACAGTGGGGTCCCAACAGATTCACGCGGATATTTATTATCCTCAAGTGGCAAACTCAGCCAAGAAGATGCCGATCGGTGGGTTACTTAGAGTCCAGCAGGTGCTTGGAAACAGAAAGTTTCTAACGTGAAGCAATCAGCTCTAATGATACATGGAGGAAGTCACATCATTTTCTCCCGCAAGGATATCAGACCTCCGCAGACGCGCATCATGATTGACATGGGGCTTTTGCCTGTCAGCCTAGACCACCGGCTATGCCCCGAGTCTCGACTTGCGGAAGGCCCCATGGCTGATGTATGCGATGCACTTGAATGGGCTCAAAAGATACTGCCGTACATCGAACTGAGAAACCCCGACATCAGACCTGATCCAGACAATATTGTGGTTGTGGGATGGTCCTCCGGAGGGCAGCTGGCATTGTCGACTGGATGGACGGCACCAGAGAGAGGGGTTCGACCGCCAAATGCCATCTTGGCTTTCTACTGTCCTACTGACTATGAGGATGATTGTGAGTTTAACATGTTGATTGCATCTTGTGTATGAATGCTGATCTACAAGTACAGGGTGGCAATCTCCCATCCAACCAGTTGGAGCAGAGGACTTGGGGGAAGAATACGACGTTTTGGAAGCCGTTCAAGATGAGCCTGTAAGCTTACCTGAGTACCTCATTCAACTACCTCAAGCGGTAGAAGGCGAGTTGTTACTGACTTCTATCATGTGATACAGGTTACCAACTATGGAACTATCGGCGCTTGGGAACCCCTTTCTGATCCCCGAATTCGCACCGATCCTCGTTCTCGTATTATCTTACACATGAATTGGAAAGCTCAAACGCTTCCAATCATCATTGAAGGCTTACCCAGCAGAAGGCTCGCAGGTTTAAGAAGACCTGAGGTAACGGACTGGAACACACTGTCACAACCTTCGACAGAGGAGATCCGACGATGTAGTCCGTTGGCCCAAGTAAAGAACGGCTGTTATCAGACTCCCACATTCTTCATACACGGAACAGCCGACGATCTCATCCCATGGCAACAGTCCAGTCGCACAGCCGAAGAGATGAGAACTCGGGGCATCGACGTATCCTTGGTTCTGGTGCCAGACGCGCCTCACATCTGTGATACAAGTCGTGATCATTCGTCGGAGGGCTGGCTCGCAGTTTTGAAGGCTTACAGCTGGCTTGAGAAACACGCTTTCTCTCGTGATCATAGTGAACATGAAGTCAGCCCCGATCCGTAATTGGTGTCCGGCTAGTTCTGGCTTTTCAGAGCAGACTTTACTCCTAGGCTTGTTATGATGGCATCGGTTAATCACCATAAAAGGTGATCTGCAGTTGACAGAGGCCATTTTGCACTTGTACAAACGGCGGTTTCTGAGAAGGGATGTTTGTAGATCTAAGAAATTAACTACATCTTTGGGTAGAATGACGATCTCTCCTGGCCCCAACCTCCAGAAACCTCGCCTTCTTCGATATTGTCGTAGCGGTTACCCCACACGCAATAACGAACAGGTGGGCTGGTCTGCCTGATGTTAATATGCAACGAAATAGCCGGTAGTAGCTTTTGTCGTCTAGATTCGTTCGACCCGAACTTTGCCTGTCTTAACACGCTTCGGCCTATGCTTGGGCCTCGGCTTGGACTTCAGCTTGGAATTGCGGGCAAATACCGCAATATCGCACCTTATCTTGAACCAAAGATGCGGGATTTCTTCTTTGAGTATATTAAGGAATTCGAGTGCGTTCATCGAAGAGGTTGGGAATCCTCTTGCCACGTCACTCTGATCGTATACTCTTCCAAACTTGCGGTTCTGGGCATGGAATACTCTTTCTCCCCAGTACTTGCGGCAATCTGGCCTTCGTAGAACGCTTCGGTCGACCAAACTTAATGTCTCGAAGGCTTCGCCCCTTCCATCATCCTCAGAACGCGCAGTCATATCCATCAAGAGGTTCAGGAAGCACGCCCTCGGGCCGGGCGTCTGCCGCAACTCCGCTATAGGTTTGCTGCTCGGATCAAAAGCCCAAGAGTTATCAAACTCAAAAGCAATGCTGCGATAGCCTCTCTGTCCGTACCAATAGTCGTTCCAAAATGGGAGCTTGATCCGCGATGTAAAGTCGTTGTAAGTTGCGTCTTGGGGTATTTGTAAACAGAGCAGGTCTTCCAAAGGATTTACTGAGAAACCGTATGTCTTGTCACCTTCGCAGATAAGACCGATTCTTGAAGGAGTAAGATCTCTTCTGATAGGACCAACATTATGAACGTACTTCCTCTTTACCTCCTTCCACTTCTTTTTCATTGCTTCCCTGGAGTCTCTGCATGCAGTCCACAGACCAGCGTCGAGAAGGTACTCGGACCCGTTCCCAGCTATCGACGAAACATCGACATCCTTAATTGTGACAGGGTAGGGTGTATTTCCAATGTAACTCTGAGAATATTTCAAACGTTTGGGGGGGGCGTGGGGGTGGGCTTTGCGGCATAGAGCTCACGGGAATGAAGTGCAATCCTGGTCGTGATGTACGGACTGAAGCAGCGAGGTCCCAAATCATCAGCCTCAATTCCGCTGGGAGATCGCCGAAGGTCAACGGGGTTTTGACCGGCATTATTGACGAAATTTGGAGGACTTCGGAGCGAATTTAAGTCGGCGGAATTCAAGTCGCCGAAAGAGAAATGAGAGTTGGCTGTATTTGACGGAAGATTTTGCACAGAGTCAGACGGTGCGGCGACATTTTATGATAAACTTGACTGACCTTGTTGGTAATGTACACCCCGGTCCACATAGCCACAATGAAGTAGAAGGTTTTCACAAATACTCCCAAGGTGTTCCCAAGTGGACCGACAAATGCTCGGTTTATAGAGGTGGACACAAGGTTATCTTTCAGTCTCATACATCGAAGAACACCACATTGCTTTGTATCCATATGAATGCGGGCAAGAAAACCCTTCAAACCTGCCCCCTCGGGAATCGAAACGCTGCTGTTGGTCCAGCCGGCGCCCAAAATCTCTCGATTGCCAACTTTTTAATGGCAAGGGCTTGATACTTGCGAAAGAGCAGAGGTCCATAAACCTTATATGTTGTCTATAACCCCCTTTAAGCGTATTATCTGTTTACAACATCGTCAAGGTCATTAGAAGTATGTTCACCTGGATCTTGAAGTGTGACAAGGCAGGGATGGCCACGACGTGCCCTTACTGTGAATATCTCGATCAACATGCAGTTGCATCAGGATGTATCTCTAGAGCATACTAAAATCCTTTCATTCTTCAAAAACTGGCGAAATCAATATTTTAGTCAAATTAAAACTCCATCTTGGACCTTAGACTTGGGTAGTCGGCTGACGACTTCGTAAGGGGCGTGTGGTAAGTCCTGCGGCTTCCATTTCTCATGACAGATGCGTTCAAATGAACCACCCCTTTTTGATCTGATCTCAGAGATTTTTTATGTCGTCTCTACATTCTCTTAGCCAAAGCTTAGCCCCGTTTTACTCGTGTCCCAGAGATCCCGCATCCTCTTTATCTGTAATAGCTAGCACGGGGATATCTTCCTCAGGATCGAGATAGTACGATCTACTGATGCCTGCAACATTAGTCTTCTCCCATGTCCAGTACCCCTCAACCGAGCCGATGGCTTCCAAAAAGTTAAAAGCATTCATTCCGGATGTCAAAGGTTTCTTCGGCAACATCGCGAAGGCCTTTCACGACTCCGAATGTTCGTTCCTTGGAGCGATACTTCTCGTCGAAAAAACCGGGATCGTGAGGTGCTTTCCGCCGTCGACGTATGCTTCTATCAATCAGATAGATGAGAGGTGCGGAATCATCGCGCTTTCCTGCGAGAATACTCAGGAAGAAGCCACGGGGCCGGGGCTCATACTGCATGCCATCCAGCGCATCTGCAGCCATGCCTAGCTCGACACCGACAGCCCAGGAAGAATCATATTCAACCGCGATATTGAAAATACCACTTGGAGGCCACCAGCTGGTTCTCCAGAATGGCAGCTCTCCCCACCCGGAATTCCAGTCTGCGTCATTTGAGAGCTGAAAGCATAAGAGGTCTCGACGAATATCTACATCAAAAACCTAGTCATGAACACCGTCTCGGAAAGTTCCGAACCGGATATTCTGGCTCTGATGTCTCTTATTCATCAACACCAAAGCAGATTCTTTGCAGGCGGTCCACATTCCAGCGTCCATAAGGTAGGCTGAGTCGTTGTGTTTCACCCAGGAGCGCTAGGTCTTGGGCATGATCTCCACATCGTCGGCTTGATCTGATCCATCCAAATCGAGTAGACCAGATATCCAGCGCCGGTCAAATGCCTCTTCCATGCACTCGTCAACAGCCATGAAATGAATCCGAGGCTGTGCCGCAGTGCAGGCGGCCAACTCCCAAATATGCAGCCGGAGTTCTGTCGGGGGATCAGGGAAGCGATGGAAGGTGGTGGTCGCCATCTTTGTGACTGCGTTTCATGTTTGGCATTGTCGTCCTCAAGAATGCAAGGTAAGTTGATCTGTTAGAGCAAGTTTTCAAATCCTTTATTAGCCGAAGGGGGGTTTCATCGCAAAGTCCATTCTAGCGGAGACGGCTTCGGTTCTACAAAGCTACAAAGACAGAGTTTCTTAGGCCCACAGGGTTGTTGAAATTTTGGCTGTTCGGGTAATTTAGACCGCAGCAGTAAGGTAGGGTTTGAAACTTGATCGTTGAAACCTTCAGATTCTTCAGCTAAGCGTACGCAACTACGTTCAACTTCAATAGCAATTGGTTTGAGGCGCTACCTGATCTCAAATACCTCATGTTGAGCTCGTCGAAAACAGCCCGTTTACTAGTCATTATATATTGAAGTTTTAAAATGAATCACTCGCAAGAAAGATTTTGTTCGATTCAACTGAATGGCGGACGTTGAAGCCGTCTGGACGCATCGTCATCTTTCTTCCTACACAACTACAGTCCGAGTGAAAGGTCATCAAGCCTACCAGAATTGGATTAATCCCATTGGCGAATCCTCCTCAGACCCCGCAACTTGGTGAACGTGGGGGAAAGGATAAGCAGACACGACGCGACTGGCGGAGCGTCACATCGGCCACATCATCACTCATTCATGGGCGCTAGAGCGTACACAGCCCCTTTCGAATCATCAAGTCTCTCATCATGAGCGGCTCATTGCAAGGCCGCGTGGCCTTCTCTCCTACTCTTCCGCTTACTGAATTCAATTTCACAGCTTCGGTGAAGACAGATTCCTCATTACTTCTCATTTATCTTGGTGCCGCAAACGGCTGACTGGAGAAATCAAAGGCTAAGCGGCACAGCATAGCGCACTCAAAACCCGCTCTTCAGGGCGACTAAGATCAGCTAAGCAGGGCAAAATCCTCCGGCGCCCGGGGCCGGCATCCCGCGACGCCCCGCGCCGACAAACCGGATCACGAGGTCGTCGTCGTCGAGGCGAGGCTTTCTTCAGCTCAAACGGCGAGAAACGATCTCAAATTGACATAAATTGTCCACAAAAGAGAAGCTCAATTGAGAACGACATTCCTTGGATCTTTCAGATTACGACTCAGCATTCTCCCCCCTCAGATAAGCATCAGCATGTGGAAAAAGAACAAGCCCAAGGCCCCACAAGACACCTCCCCCGGGCCCAGCACCGGCCCCGGTCCCATCCCAACCGGCCCCGTATCGTCCGCTCCTCCCGCCTACACCTCCGACGCTCCATCTTCCCTCACCGACCCCCTCCAGAACCTATCCATCTCCCACTCCGCCACCGCAGTTCCAACTGAGGCACACTGCCTCGCCCACCTCCGCCTTCTCTACGTCTTCAACCGCCTCAAGACGGAGACAGGCTACCGCAACGGCCTCTGGGATATCTTCGACTCCCGCGCGGGTCCCCAGACCCCCGCCAACAACGGGAAAAAAGCCGCCATCCCAGACCCCGCGGAACCCAACATAGATATCCTCGTCAAGCTCCGCGAGAAGCGATGGGCAGTCTACGTCGCCCGCGCAGTCTCGCGCTACGAAGCCTGGTGGTCCTCCTTCGTCCCGGACATGCTTCTCGAGAAAGACATGCTCGACCCAGACGAGGGGCGCAAAGACCGGTATGAGGGGTTCGTGAGACGCGAGGGCATGGTTTGGAACGCGGACATGCTGCCGCCACTGGGTTGCCTTCCCCCGTTCCCGTACTTTGTGAACTGCAATCGCTGACACCGGATGCAGACGTCCTCCTCGTCTGGCACGCGCACATGCTCAATCCTAGAATCTACCTCGAAGACTGCCTTCGCTACGGCCACGCCGCGCTCTGGGGTTCTGGGATGCCATGGGCAATCGTCAACGCCGCCATCCGCGGGCCGGCGTTCGAGTACGTCGTCTCGGATGCGTGCGTCGCCCACTGGACGTCGCGGACGAACCTCGCCTGGAGAAATGAAGATGATCCAGACAGAAAAGAGATCAAGTGTCCGAGCTGCGCTGCGACAATCTCTGTTCCGTGGACGACGTGTGGGCAGGAGGAGGGTTATCAGGGGAGCCAGTACGTGAATCCCTAGCTCTTGTCACCTCCCATCTCAGACTGGGACTTCCCAGTGCCGTGTTTGCCGTCAGAACAAGAAACACATCACGAATGGACCAGACTAACACGACCACAGCCGCCCCGGCCTCTCAGGCTCCGGCCTCGCAGATGGCCACCTCTCGCAAACCTGCCCCTGCACCTTCACCATAACCCACCAAGCCCTGCGGACCGCCAAATTCCTCGCAGACATCCAAGCGTCAATAAAGCAAGGCCATGCAATGCCAGGCACGATTCTCGACCTGCAGAGCGGAGTCCCAAATCTCCTTTTATCCGCCTCCTCGAGCAGCACGTCTTCCCCGATCCCAGACCAGCTCTTCCCTTCGCACCTCGCCCGCCGCGGTCTTCTCTCCCCTGTGCTCTCCCTCCTGACCCCCGATTCCCCGACGCCCGCGTCTATTACTGCCGTCCGCGACGTGATGGAGGAAACCTTCACTGGCAAGTTCGCGGACCCGAAAAACCTGCGGGAGGTCATGTCGCGGCACGGGCACAAGAAGGTCACGGAGTTCAGGCTGAGCCTGGAAGGTCGACGGCAGACGCGGAAGATGATGTCGCGGTACTGGGAGAACTCCGGCCTTTTGGGTATCGACCTTGTGGGCTGCGTCATGAGGCAGGGCGTGTTTACTGAAAAGATGTGCAAGGTGAGCTGTTCTCCCCTCGTGACCTCTCTATGTCAGACCTTTGGACCGAGTAAGATTACTCGTCTGAGACGCGGCGATGTTGACCAGCAGTCTGCGACAGATCAACTGGCTCTGCCTCCCAACAGTCCAACAAACAATGACCGCCCTCCTCACAAAGTACACACGCTTCATGACCATAGTCTCCCTTGCGTCGTCCACAAAGGACCGCGTCGCCGTTCCCACCGTCGACGTCGACCTCGCCTGGCACACGCACCAGCTCAGCCCCCGGTCCTACTACGATTACACCGTCGCGGAGACGGCCGCCTTCGTCGACCACAACGACAAGGTCGATGAGGATAAGCTCAGCACCGCCTTCGAGTGGACGTGCAAGACCTACCAAGAACGGTTTGGCGAGGTGTACTCGGAATGCAAGTGCTGGTACTGCGAGAGTAAGTTTCCCTTTGCCATACCCTCTGATACGACCCCCCTTCCATCTCGCGTACGAGAGATAGATAGTAACAAAGCGTGATGCCTCCACAAACCCTTGAAGATGCAAGATAGTAGATAGTGGCAGAAATACGGCCGCCGCCGCCGTCCGTCGGTCTCCGACTTTGTGAGGAGAGAAAGACTGACGTTGATTCGCTATCAGCTGTAAGGGTGATGGCGCTTCCTGCAACCAAGATGTTCGGTTCAGGCAAGGAGGAAAAGCGTAAGCATGCAGCCGTCTCCCCGCATCTATGTCGTGTAACCCTCCAAGAGGCTCACCCACCCCAGTCCTCGAAGCATGGCACTCCTCCCCCGAAGCCAAAAACGTACCCATCCCACCCTCTGCCGAATCAGCGCACGTCTCGTCACACCCGGCGGTACATACTAACGAGACGACCTCCCGAAGAGCTCACACGCGCCCGCTGCGACTGGACTACAGGAACAGGCTCGAGGAAACGCATTCCAAGGCACGGAAGAGGGCAAACAAGACGTTCAAAGCCGATCAAGGTAAGAGAATGGGACCGAGGGGAGAGGACACGGCGAGCTTCTGGGGCAAGGAGGTTCTCGTCCAAGGGCCGTGGGCAGCGAGTCTGGCTGCCACAACAACGAGTGAAATGTACCCGTCCCCGCCTGGATTCGTTAGCACAGGGCCTGGGGCAGTGGGGAGCTGTGCCACGGGCACGTGTGGTGGTTCTGGTGGATGCGGCTCGGAGACGCTTGGTATGTGTTCTGCCGGGTGTGTTGGGGTAAGTGACAAGTCTCTTGATATCTCGGTGTCTCTTTTCGTACTGCGCGAAATATGGCCCTGTTTCTTTTCGGACGTTGTCTTATCTATGCCGAGGCTTTTTGACGCTGACAAGGTGACAGAGCGCCTGGTTCGGCGGCAAGTCCGGATGTGCAGGATTCGCGGGGGCGTAGGGATTTGACAGCATGTAACTTTGCAATATCCCATGGCTGGGACGAGCCATATCTCCGCCAGAGTCTATTGACACGTGCTGTCATGAATGTGTGAAGTCGCAACTTGCTACCGCTTAAGCTTATTCCGTCCAGACGCAAGGTCCGATCGGAGGTCGGGATGTGGGAACCACAGGGCGTGGGGAGGGCCGCTCGCTTCCAGTTGCACGAGTAATGAGAGGGCGAAGATATGGGCCTGGTTCAAGCAAATGGTGGAAACTATGTTTAATGAAAGACAACCGTCCATGGGTGTTGTACACCGCTTACGAGTCGATCGCTATCAGCGCTTGCTTGGCCCATTGCACCAAGTGGTCGACACTGATTGTTGACTCGTCGGGGCTTTGCCTTGGTGACACAGCGCGCCGCTTCTCCGTCCACCTGCCTGTCTGTGCCTGGCGTGAGACATCAGGCTTCTGCGGTTCAGCCCGAGATCACCGCCGCCGGACCCTGAGAGGTCTATCATCGTCAGGCACCTCGACCAAATCACGCAGGATCGGCACCTGGCCCCCAAAGAGGAAGGTTCGTGGAAGGCCCCGTGCACCATCGATCAAGGCCCTGTCTTTGGAGGGTTGACGTGCAGCGGAGAAGGCTCGATACCGCATCTCCTGCTGGCAATGTTGGCAGGTTTGCAGGGTGACTGACAGGGACCGATAAGATAACGTGCCGGTGCCGGCTGATATGAGTGGCTGGTCCAAGACTTGGCTTGGAGTTGGATTTGGAGTAAAGTCTCCTTGGATGAGAGGTTGCCCGCCGTGCATCGGCACTCAAAGCGAGCAATATTAGATTACCCCGCCAATAAGAAGAGAGATAAAGGGGCACACAGCTGTCAGCTTGGCCGCTGAACCCTGTGGTCCCCCCTGCGAAGCCCTATGAGACGTTCGCCTTGGGTCACACTTCAGCCGGCCAGAGTGCCTCTTTTCAGAGAAGCGCGCCGTTTCATCGTCTCAGTGTAGCTGTGTCGGCGGATTCCTGGAGGGTCGGGCTGGAGATTAACAAAGCAGGTCGAGCGTTCGTGGGGTCGGGAAGGATCGTGAGTGGCTCGACGGCATCTGGAAAGGCGGAAAGGTGGGGATGCGTCGTGGTTAGACAGAGAGAAACGTGGACTTGGTATTATCGCGACCCGCCGCTGAAGGTGTCTCTTGATGAGTGTCGAGAGGAAGAGGAAGGAGGCAAAGAAAACATATAAACTGACGGCGGATCTCCCGCTCTGGGCCGTCTGTTTCAGCTCATCGACAGTCATTGCCAAGACCTTCGTTCATAAGCACCTCTCAGCCTTCATCCCTGTTCTCCGTCCGTCGCTCCGGTCATCGTCGCCAACATGAAGTTTTCCGCTGCCATCCTCGCCCTCGCCGGCGCTGCCGTCGCCGCTCCCGTCCCGGACCCGGTCGCTGAGCCGATGCCGATGCCCACTCCCGTGAGTCGGGCTTTCAAAGCCGATTTTGTTGATTTTTCGCTGACAATTCGCAGCCTGGCATTCCCACTGCTGCCTCTGCCAAGACCCAGCTTGCTGCCCTGACCGTCCGTGCCTGGACCAACACCGACACGTACGACCGTGATCTTTTCCCCCACTGGATCACCATCTCCGGCACTTGCAACACCCGTGAGACCGTCCTCAAGCGTGACGGCACCAACGTTGTCACCAGCTCCGCCTGCGCTGCCACCAGCGGAACCTGGGTCAGCCCCTACGACGGTGCTACCTGGACCGCCGCCAGCGACGTCGACATTGACCACATGGTCCCCCTGAAGAACGCCTGGGTTGTAAGTGATATTCCCTCTCCGTGTGCATGAACAAACGGATCTCTAACACGGAATGACAGTCTGGTGCCGCTTCCTGGACCACCTCCAAGCGCCAGGACTTCGCCAACGACCTCGCCCGCCCCCAGCTGTGGGCCGTCACCGACTCCGTCAACCAGTCCAAGAGCGACAAGAGCCCCGACTCCTGGAAGCCTTCTGTCTCCAGCTTCCACTGCACCTACGCCCGCGCTTGGGTCCAGGTCAAGTCCTACTGGGCCCTCTCCGTCACTTCTGCTGAGAAGACTGCCCTCACCACCATGCTTAACACCTGCTAAGCGACGCGACCATGATGTTTTGGATACGAGCGATGAAATTTGACGCGGGCTGGTGACTGCGTGTCTGATGATTGTCAGCAAACCAGCCACCAATTGGTGTTTTTTCTACTGTATTTACTTCTCTTCTTGAATATCTTTTCCCGAGAGGGCTTTGTCCACATGCGATCAGCAGCGATGGAAACACGAGACTGCCGAGAGCAGACGGGGTCACTTGGCGCCCCTGAGAGGGTTTATGACGATTGTCGGAATTGGTGCAAGGGAGGCCCAGGAGAACAAGGCCATTGTTGGTAGTATAGGTGCGTCCAAGGGAGACAAAAGATGGATGCTAGTGGAATAGCGAGTCTTGGTTCTTACTGCCTCTAATGAGAACGGCGCAAAAGCAAAACCACGCCCACGGCGTCCCATGGAATGCACCGCCCCTCTGTGCCCGCCGTGATGCAATCGTTTTCTGGGGCCGATCGTTGAGTGCCGCAGTCGGCAATCTCGGTGCAACTTTCAGGGTCTCGTCTCGCGTAAGAAAAAATACGGGATTGCCAACGCTCTTGGCGCCACAAGCGATCGCGTTCGGCTACGCTGCAGGGCGGGGCAGGGGCAATGTTGAAGGTGCAGCTGGTTGACCCGTGGATGCTGTCTCTCAGCAGGCCCCAAGAGCTAATTCTGTTCGCGACCAAGGCCAGACAGTCCGAAATTGCGCCAATCCGCCGAGACTGCAACAAGAGAATCTCTTCGTGTCCGTTTAGACATAAGACAATTGGCAACCGCAGAGTGTCGAATGGAGGCGGGGCCTTGGCGGCTGCCCCGAGGACGGGAGAGGAATGGAAGACGGACGACGTCACTCACGGGGGAAACGGCCGTTGGAATGCATTTCTGGGAGTTGACGGGTCCGGGGAAAACGAGGGCGACGAAGAACGGCTTTCGAGACAGATTCCGGAAGCAGATGGCGGCGATGGATGCGGCGAGCACAGGCCCACGGCAACAGCAGCCTTCAACGAGGACCGTTGCCCTCGACGAAACGACGAGACCTTGATGGCTGTCAACGCCATCTGGCTGAGATGAGAGAAATCTCGGAGATTTGGGTGCGAATGGCTTGCTGTCGGCAGTGTTGATGGGAAATGGAAAATTGACTTTTGGCGGTGCACCTTCCAAGGCAGAAAGAAACAGAGCGGTTGTGGGGCTGACCGACGGTGAAGAAGGAACGAGGAAGAGCGCTTCCCAATGCGGCAAGTTCGAGGCAAGTACGAGAAAGACAAGGCGGGCAGTCGCTGCCTTCACCGTGGTCGCCGTTTCCGTGGCCTTGGCCATTGTCTTCAGCGCTCTCGACTGCCTCTCCTTTCTCCTTGCAGTCACTGCCATGGGACGCTGCCCATTGTTCGGGGGCCGTGTCTTTGACTTTCCTTCCATTTAAGCCGTTGATGCATCCCTCAACTCTGCAACTTCAGTTCAAGCTCATCCCAAGCATCAATCGCATCAAACCACAAATCACACTCGTTCTCTTCCGTCAAGATGATGAGATACGCTGCCCTCTCCCTGGCCCTTGGCCTGGCCTCTGCCCAGACTTTCTCCGTGTGCAACCCCGTCAAGGGTGAAAGTAGGTTCCTCTCTTCTCCTAGCCCTTATGCGGTCCTTGAACTCTTCCAACAGACTTGACACGATACTGACAACTTCCCAGCTTGCCCTGCCAACCCGGCTTTCGGCGGCGAGGGCAACTACAACTTCCGCGACGCGAAGAGCATCGATGACCTCGAGTCCTTCTTCATCGTCGACGGCGGCGTCAAGTACAACCCCAAAGTCATGTCCTTCTCCGACGACACGGGTGGCCAGATGACCATCTTTGAGGAGGCAAACGCTCCCACCCTCACCTCAAAGAACTACCTCTTCTTCGGCAAGGTCGAAGTCGAGCTCCAGGCTGCTCCGGGCCGCGGCATCGTCACCAGCATCGTCCTGCAGTCGGACGCCCTTGACGAGATCGATTGGGAGTTCGTCGGCGCGGACCAGAACCACGTTCAGACAAACTTCTACGCCCTCGGCATTAACGACTACACCCGCGCAAAGTACTACGAGGTCGACTTCAACCCCATGACCACCTTCCACACTTACACCATGGAGTGGACCCGCGACTCTCTCATCTTCTCCATCGACGGCAAGGAGTACCGCACAGCCACCCCCGCCGAGGGCAACTACCCGCAGACGCCTATGCAGCTGAAGCTCGGCACCTGGGTCGGAGGCAAGGGCCCCAACCAGGGCACCATCGACTGGGCCGGCGGTATGGCCGAGTGGGACAAGGCTCCCTTCGCCGCCTACTACCGCTCCGTGAAGATTTGGGACTACGCCGGCGGTGACAAGGCTGGCGCCACCTCATACGAGTACAAGCCCGGCTCCGACGGCTCCTGGCAGAGCATTCAGATCAACGGAGCAGGCTCAAACAGTGACGGTGCTGGTAACAACTACCAGCAGGACCACCAGCCTCAGCAGCGCGCTACCGGCGAACAGTCGGCCACTTCCCTTATCACCGCCACATCTAGCCTGGTAGTTCCCTCCGTCGCCCCCGGACCCATCGTTGCTAACAGCACCGGCCTCGCTGGAACCGGCATGACCACTCGCAGCGGTCCTTCCGCAACCTCGACATCCCAGCCGGTTCCTGGCTCGGCGTCCTCTGTCCAAGGCGGCATCCTCGCTGCTTGCGTTGCGGCCTTGTTCGCCGCCTTGATGGTCTGATCTTCGGACATGAGCGGGTAGCGTCGTTCCTCAGCGTGGAAGCTTTGGTGTGTTCTGGCCTGTATTGATAATGTGTAAATATGCTTTAAGGGTCGGGCGCGCTGTGTGTGTATACGCCCCTTGACGGGGGAAAGGCGTGCTGCCCTGAAGGGCCATGGGAGTTTTGCTCAATTACACTACTAATACCACACTTAATGCATGCTTGCCTGTCTTTCTGTTTGGTGATGTGAGATGTTACTCGACGAGCAGAAGCTAGTCGTACACCAAATTTACCTAGCTAGGCTCTCATGCCGCATTTATCAACACGAGAGCTACGTCAAGTCACCAAAGGACAAACATGATTTTGAAAATAGAATCCTTAGTTTCTTTTGATCCTTGCACCGCCTCCTATTACTATTTACACCGGAATAAAAGAAGAAGAAAAAGTTACGAATTACCCCCGAGCCTCTCCCGCCAGACCAAGCCGGCAGCAAAAGGCCGAGGCCATCCCAAAAACCGCCCCAATCCAAGAATGCATGCAATCCGCGTATAGTCGCTCGCTCCTTGAATAATGAGAAAAAAGTTTCCCTCTTTTCCGTCCATCCCGTAGGTACAGCCAGAGAGGGGAATTGCGAATGTTGCTTGCAGTCGACAAGAACCAGAAGAGTGAAGGGAGGAAAAAAGCCCGGGTATCAAACTAGCTTTGTACAAATGAAAGAAGAAGTGAAGAAGCAGAAATAAAAAGGAGGTGATGCACAATGTTCCCAAGCCAGCAACACCCCATATGTATGCCCACCCAAACTCCTCGAGTCCAATGTGGTCATGTCGTCGTGGGCTCGGCTGACTTTTTTCTTCTCGTGTGACGACCCCCCCAGCCCTTTGTGTGTGAATTTCCTATTACGCCCCTCTTTTTGTCTCAACTATCCATTCACGCCCGGATGGTCGCGTCGTGTGGGACATCAAACTCAATCTCTCCCTCATCCAGCTCTCCCCTGGCAGCTCTGCGAGCCAGGTCTCTCTCCGAATAGATTTCGTTCTTGCGGGTCGTGGCTTGCTGCAGGCAGTCTACGTAGGTGCGGAACTTGACAATCTCCCGCAGGAGGTATGCGCTCTTGCGTTCCCAGTTGGCCATGGCCTTGTTGGCATTGTTGCCGCGAGGAGTGAAGGCCAGAAGCATCGGGCTGCGCAGCTGGTTGTGCGTCTGCAGCTCGTCTTCAATGCCCTTGACGTATGACGTAAGGCTTTCGAGTTGCTCCTCCTCGGGGAGGTTGCTGGGCCGCATGGACTGCGCCGGTGGCGCCCAATCGGAGATGGTGATCCTGTCTCCGGGCAGCTTCGCACCTCTGCCAGCACCGTAGGCGCCGCCTGAGCCGTGATCGATCGAGCCGGAGCGGAACGTACCACTCGAAAAGCTCGGTCGTGGGTTGGCGGTGCTACTGCCGGGTCGCGAGTTGCGGCCTGGTGACTGGCCGGTCGCCTGCTCGTTGATGGCCGTGACCAGAGCGTTGTTGATTATGGCGTCGCTCCATCCATATTCGATGTTGCTGATACCGCCAACCAATGGGTGGGTGCTCAGGCGAGCACTCCAATAGTTGGCCGTGGTGACGAACTCCTTGCTGATCTCGGGTGTACCAACCTGGAAAAGGTGAACAGCGCCACTGGGGAGACTCAGCGCCCAGACGTGAGGCCGAGCTCTGGAGTATCCTGGGGGCGGAAGGGCAGATGCCAGAGTCTGTCGAAGGCTAAAGGTGCCCAGGTTAGTAGCGTTATCTTGCCAGTTGCCACCTCCGACGACAGCAGGGCCCTTGGCGTTGCGGCCGCGGCTTTTGCGTCCCACCGAGGATTTGGCGGTTCCGAATGAGAAAATGCTCATCTGGCCCTTTTGAACAACGGCAAACACCTCATTCCAGTGCCTATCCTTTGCTTTCTTGTCAATACCGTCCAGATGGTGTTTGTGAATCACGATACCCTCCTTTACCCACGGAGGTCCGGCGAGTTCGAGGGACTCGTCTTCGAGAAGCTGAGCGCTCTTCAGTTCGTCGCTCATAATCGAGGCGGCCTTTCCGAAAGCTGACTCATCATCACGGATGATGGCCTGGCTAAGGGCGTTGGCAAATCCGATGGACTGTTGATAGTCTCCGCCTCTGAATGACGACCCGAGCGAATCCACAGACATCGAGGTTTGCGTTCTGCCCAGCGAGAGCTTGCTCCATGTCGCCGACGAAGCCGAAGGGCTCCAAATCGAATTTCCGTCCTCGAAGCTCGTTCTCGACGAAGAGAATCCCGGATTGCCCATACGAGGTCGTGACCTGCTCTTCGAATTCCATCTGGAAGAATTGGCACGACCATGTTCAGCTATGCGCCCTCGCATAGATGCCTGACTTTCTGACGGGGCCTTACTCAGAACGCTGGGCGTTCGCTTCAACATACCGATGACGGACAGACTATTCGTGGTGGGTGTCAAGTTCTTCGACGGGTCTGCACCGAAGAGCGGCAGGCGTTCGTCACGAATCGAGGTGTAAATGTCCTTCAGCACGATCTCGACCTGGCTCTCCCAGGCACGCATCGAGCCATCGAACGGTGCTTTCACCAGCGGTCCGCATTCGTCGTGGAACTCTGACGATCCGTCCTCGTTTCTCGGCGGCGGTCGGAACGACAATCGGCGCGAAACGAACCTCTCCTCGATGGATGGTCTGGAGTCGTCTCCTCCGAGAGAGCTGTTGGTCTTGCCGGGCAGAATAGTTGGCCGTTCGAAAGCTTCGGGGGCTGACTCGGCCACCGCCTGAGTGATCGTAGTCATGGTATTTTTGACGAACTGGCTCCGTGTCATCTTTTGGTCGATGTCAGCCAGGTGCAAATCAGTGTTGAGCAACATGATCGAATAGCAGATTGTGTGAATGACATCTGTGTCTGGTTAGCAAAGTTCGAAATTTTAGTAAGCGACAAAAGCCTACCAGATGCTTTGAACCCATGATTGGTGTTGCAATCACACCAACGCTTGGAAAACGCAACCAAAATACGATCTACCTGCTGCGTCTCTGCTCTGAAGACCAGGCGCTCGCAGATCAAACGAAGACTCTGCAGAATGCTCTTGTTGGTAAAATCATAGAGATCCATGTATGCACGCAGGGTTCTCTGGCGGATGGGGCCCTCCTCGCCCATCCATGCAGCGGCCTTCTCCTTCTGGATGAAGTCCTCGTTACCATCAAAGATTTTCTGTGCCTTTTGGCGATCATCGTCGGTAGGGTCTCCAACGACAAACTCAGGCTCGTCCAGAGGCTTTGCGTTCATCGACTCGAAAGTGCCCAGAACCTTCGGGCTGTTGTCGGGCTCGACTCTCACGCTTGGGGCAGCACTAGCGGCAGACTTGTAATCGGTAGTGGTAGATCCTGACGTCCTGCTGGCAGACCTAGTGCCCTCGATTGGCAGAATCAGTCCAGATTTGTTGCCCTCGTCATCAGAATCCGTCGTGTCGACGGTGAGACGGTTGGTCTTCCTGCCTCTGATAGTGGTGTCATCCCTTCTCTGGGACGGTCTTCTCGAGGGAGAGGATTCCTTGGACGGCTTGTCTTGCCTGAGGCCCTTCTCTTTTCTTGTCTTACCGCGTTGTCTCGACTCGGTATCGGCTTCGTTATCGCTGCCATCGATGTCAAGGAATGAGTTATTCCTCTTCTCGTTGGACACGGGAGGCTCAGGCGGCGGTCGAGTTGGAGTATCGGTGCGGCGTTCATGATCGGAGGGAGAGCGGTCCTCGCCACGAGAGCGAGACCTGACCTGTCGAATACGTGCGTTGGGACTTGGGTCGTACTCGGGGGAGAAAGAGCGGGGGTGCTCCTCTGCTGATCCCTCATCGTGCGGGTCAGGAGCCATTTCGAGATCAGTAGCTTGTACAGGAGCAGATTGAGGAGTGATGGGCGTGTTTGGAGTCAAAGGGCTGCCTTTAAGGTACGGATTCATGACCCTTCGCAAGCTGCTGATTGGGCTGGGCTCAGGTTTCGCGGAAAGCTTGTCCTTAGTAATGGGCAGCTGAATCGGAGCGACGAGAGGGGGCATGGGCGGCTCGAGGGCAGCTGGAGCTGGCACGGGAGGCACTTCGTCGGCGGACACAGACTTCTTTCTGCGACGGAAGAAAGAGCTCGGTTTCTTCTGCAGCACGTGATGATGGGAATGGGACGAAGATGTGTCCCTCGAGGGCGGGGCGGAGGTGGAGGGCTTCATCTGGTTGGAAACGTGGAGGGATCGATTCCCTGATCTCTGATCGGCCGTATCCACAGATGTTGACGACGTTACGCCCGAGGAATTTTGAGTCTCGGGCGGGTTATTAGAGGCATTGTTTCTGGACGAACCAAACACTCGCCTGAAAAACCCCGGTTTTTCTTTTGTTTGTGACGGTGTATGTGTCGGAATCGGAGCTCCGTGCACGGCCTCTTTTGTCTTGCCGTAGCCCACATGTGGCGCGGGTGCCGAGTCAATGTCGAGCGCGGGGACGGGAGAGGGCTCGGTAACGGGCGCGGCTGCGGGTAATGGCGGCACCTCCTCGTGATTGTTATTAGGTTTATGGTCGGCCTTGCGGCTCGTTGCCGTGCTTTTGGCTGACCGATTCGTCGATTTGCGTTCGAGAATGACGGCGGGCGGCTCCAGCTCGTCATCAGCCACGGGAGCGGCTACAGGCGATCGTGGGTATGTGGCGGTCGGGGGTGTCTGGGGCACGATGCGTCTTGGCCCTCCAGGCACTGTCGGCGTGGGGGCCGCATCGTAGTCGTCGTTGAAAAAGGTATTTGAAAATTCAATGTGCCAGGGTGCTTGGCCCTGTTGTTGAGGCTGAGGCTGGTAATGTTGTTGTTGTTGCTGCTGCTGCTGTTGCTGAGTGGCCTGCAGGGCAGCGGGTGGGCGATGGCCGTAGTCGAAGCTCGAGGATCTACCACCGAAGCCGGACGCCCACCTCGTGCTACTGAGAACCTGAGCGTAGCCAGCATCTATACTATTGGAGCTGCTGCTCTTGGTGCTCCCCTTGCCGCCCCTGGAATGCATGTGGCGTGGTGTGCCAGGTGTGCTCCGCATCGACTCGCGCATACTGCTGATGCGATGCAGGCCGCTTTGGAAGTTGGAGCTACTATTGCTTCTCCGTCCACGAGATGATATCCTGCTCGCGTCGTCGGCGTCGAAGTCGGAGCTGTAAGAGTAGCCGTGGCCGTTTGAGCGGCCGCCGCGAACTGGTCTCGGCATGTTGTCGTCTGTGTCGTACGGGTTATGTTGGGACGGGTCGCCAAACATGGACCTTCCGTTTCCGAAATCGCCGCCAACAGGTCCTCCCATGGAAAATTGGTCGAGGGATATGAGCATGTTCGTCATGAGAGAGTCGCGTGTAACATTGCGCGGGGACAATGACAGGTCGTGGGAATCGCGCGGTCGAGGTAGATCTGGGTTGTCGTTCTCCTTGTTCTCGGACATGTCGAAGCTATCGGGAGAATCGGGGTTGTCTAGAAAAGAGTCGTCGGCATTGCGAGTGAGGGAGGGGCCTCTAAGCGCCCGCGAGCTGGCTTTGCGATTGGAAAGCGAGGTGGGTGGCGGCAGCTTGTTCCTGTTGCTTGGCGGCGTCTGGGGGACGGCGGCAGGAGCTGGTTCTCGACTTCGACCTCGCGACGCGACAGGCGACCTGGAGTGGCCGGTGGGAGGAGAGGTGTCGATGTTAAGGTCCGGACGACGACGGCTCGAACGTCGAGGAGTGTCGGCGTACATGGTGAAGGGGGCCGGGACGGGGTATCGTGGGGGTCGGAAGGGTTTTCAAGTCATTTCCAGCTTTCGAATCCAACAAGGCCGACAACAGGCACAGGCACGACCCAGGTTCAGGTTCAGGTCAAGGTCCAGGTCTGGGACTAGGTAGGCCCAGATGCAGCAGGCGCGCTCCGTATTGCGCGCGCAGGAGCAGCAGTATGGAGACGGAGTGGTGAATGATGTGGGTTGTGGTGCTGCTGGTGCAGGACCAAAGTGCCGTTCAGCAGTCCAATGCAGCAAACCAATGCGACCCAAGGCAAAGCGATCCAATCCGAGGGGTGATGGCAGCGCCGCAGTCGAGTCAAACCGAGAGGCTAATTCGGCGTCGCAATGTCCACAGCGCCGGGTTCGAAATCGAAATCGAGCGAGCGAGGGGGGTGGGCTAGGCCGTAGGCTCTACGGAGTAGAGCGCGCGCACACACGCAGGCCTGGCCTGATACGTAGTCCGGCAAGGTCGTACGCTCTCTCAGTTTCTTTCTCTCAGTGTCTCTCGTAGGGGGGGACAAGAGGCAGGCGGTGTGGTAGCGTTTGGTAGGAATCGACGAAGGCGCAGGCGAAGGCGGCCAAGCGGTAGACGGGCTTTGTCCCGATGAACGAATGGAGGCTAACCAAGGCAACTGGCAGCCGAGATTGAATGCAGGCAGGTCGTCCTCTTTGGGGCGGGCGACGTTGCAGTGTTTCTTTTTCTCGGCGTGGGATTGACTTTTTGGATTGCTTCCTCTTGCTTTTCCTCCTGCCGTTTTCCCTCAATCGGACTGGCCTTTTGCAGGGTGGGCGGGCAGTAAAAGCCAACAGGTGCCACGGGGAGCGGGAATGTTAATATTGTGCGTGGGCGGGTTTATTATGTATTAATATGCTGCGGTGGTAGTTGTGCTGGGTACGGGTATTCTGTATTGAATCGTGTTCCGAAAGAGGCGACGAATGCAACCCTCGATGCTCCCCTGACCTTGACGGCAGACGACGTGGTGATGGGGTCTCTGGGGAGGTTTTGGGTCGGTATTGCGTAGGTAGGTAGCGCAGGTACAAGTAGTGATGGATGTCGACCGGCGCGGACGATGACGGGACGAGCAAGCAGGCAAGCAAGCAAGCGGGTGAAATAATAGCGTCCAGGGTATCCGTCGAGGGGTCCGGGTCGTGTATTATTAGCGTCGAAGCCAGTCGTCGGTCGTCCTCTGGCTATGTGGGTGCATGCGCGAGTGTGTGAGTGAGGGCGTGTGTGTGTGTGGTCTAGTCGGCCAGCGTCCGGAAAGAAGTGAAATGCGAACTGGGTTCTGGGGTGGTTGGGGGCGGACGGGCTGCTGAGGCACGAAGAGTCGGAGAAGAAGCGGTGTTGGAGGATTTGTTCATGTGCGATGCGCCATGAAACACGCGTGGAGAGTCAAAGAAGGAAAAGAAGCGGAATGGAAGAGAAGACGGGGAAGAAGAATTGGGTTAATTGATGAGCGCCCGTCTGCCGTGCCTGCCTGCTGTGCTCTGCTGCGAGTGATGTGCGTGGCGTGGCCTGGCAACTGGGAAGAAGCAGCAGCAGCAGAGGCAATCAATCAATCTAATGCTGGGGACCTGGGAAATGGGAGCTGTGGCCAGGGGGACCTGTCGTCGTGGATGGATGTGCGTTGGAAATGGAACATTGTGGGTTGTGGAATATTGGACACGCGGGAAATGGGGATTCGAATTGCTGTGACAATGGCAATGACAGCAGCAATGGGCAATGATGGGCGGCTCACCCGTCACGGACTCGGGGCGAACACCAGCACCAGCAACACGTATTCGTACGTGTGTGACTGTTACGGGATCCGTAAAGTGCTGTAAGGAACTAGCTCTCGGCTGGAAGCAATAACAATGAGCAATATTGCACCGGGAACTCTCAAGTATGACCGACTGCCCGGCATTATGACATGGGGCATCCGAAATGGTCAAGACGGGACGAGCACGATGGTGGAGCAGAGACAACCTGGAAGGAGGAAAAAACAAACAAAGAAAAGTGAAGTCATCCGTCCGAATACCGAATACGCAGGCAGGCAGGCAGGCAGGAAGGAGGATCAAGGTGGAAGTGACGCTTGTCTGTGCCCGTTGAACGTGTCTCTCGTCTCTCCCTCATGTCTCTGTGTCAGTGTCAAAATGCTGAAATGTCTGCAGCAGCAGCTGTCGGGTCTGTAATGCCTTAATTTTAGCGTCTGTGTTGTGCACTAGCTGTCTGACAATATGCAGCTCAGCAGTCGGCAGTGGCAGTCTGTATTCTCCGGCAGCTGACATGTCTCCTGTGGAAGGTAGTCTTGAGTGCTTCCAGCAATTGGGCAAGATCATCATCAGCACCATCAGCAGGTAATAGAAGACATGTAGTGGAGGATGCGACCGGCTCGTCTGCCGCTGCCGCTGGGTTCACGGTTCACCAGCCAGAAACACCAGACGAGACGGAGACGACCCTCATCACAATAATAAATGCACGCAACTGCAGCACGGACGGCAGAAACATGGCCGTCCTTGGATGAGAGGCAGATGTGGGCACGGCAGAGAAAAAAGAAGGGAAAGCAAGACCGGACGATGGGGGCACAAATGGGCCTTCTGGATCACTCTCATGGATGAGGGGATCCGTCGCAGCGGGTTGGGGCAGGAACGATGCCTGGATGCATGGAACACCACTGGACTGAGGTGGAAGCAGCGGGCAGTCAGCAGTCACGGCGCACTCCACCACACCTGAAGGGCAGTTGCCTGTTGCTGCTGCTGTTGCTGCTGTTGTTGCTCTTGCCATCTCTTGCCGTTCCTGCAGACTGAGGTGCAGTCCGGGTGGGAGAGCCTCTTTCCTTTCCGGCAGCTGCATCCTGCTGCCAGGGCAGCCGCTGCTTCCATTTGTTCAGGAACACCCGTACTGCAAGATGCAAGATGCAGGTGCTCCTGTCCTCCAGCTGCCTCCTTCTTTCCGTTGATTCTCTTCACCTTCTTGCTCCTTTCTTGTCTGCCTTACCTAAGATACCTTACCCCAGCCTGTGACTCCTTCCTGGCAAACATCATTTCGTCAACCGAATAAACACACCCCCGACACATGCAAAATAGCCACGCATTAAACGTCTTCACCAGCTCCCTGCCCCCAAACTCCGTCCCCAGAGCTTCACGGGCCTCGAGACACATGGTCCGGACCCTGCAACCTTGTCCATCTGCTCTGCGGTTGGCGGTTGCCCTTGACTCTTTTTTGCTGCCACTGCGCCTAAACCGGATAGAGTCCACCCATCATGCAGGGTTTCCCCCTTTTTTTCCGCGTTCTTCTTTTTTTCTTCCATGGCTTGCTTCTGCGTCCAGAAATTCTGCCGCTGCTCGCTCTAGCAAGAAATAAAATGATTTCAATATTGTTCTTCCACAAGTCGCCCGTCGGATCTCATCGTCATCACCACAACCATCACGGCCAATCTGCTCGCGAAACGCCCACGCAATTCCCATCACCGATCCATCCCAATCATCGCCAGCCACTGCAAGACATTTCCCGCCGGCGTCTGCACTACCGCAAGACACATGGCGGCCGGACCTCCAAGACACACGAGACACCAGGCGCCAGACACACGACCGACAGCTGGCTTGCCGCCCTCGACTAGCCCCCCCTTTTGACAGGCCACATCCCAGCTCCAAAAAGGGACAAGAGGGGACAGGGCTGCAGGGGGGATGCAAGATGCAGCCATCTCGCCAGGGTTCTTGTCCAAAACGAGCAGTCACTTCCAGGGGCCCTCAGAAGATCCGAGAGGACCCTCGTTGCGCTGTGTTTGTCTGTCAAAATCAACATTCTCGACCGCCACGCTTCTCATTCGCCCAACCAACAACGCTGCTCACGAGTCCAGAGCCGGACAACGGAAACGGGTCACGGAAACCGACCCAAGATACGCTCGGTTTCCAGAAGAACAAGCCTCCACAGCCAACCGACGGCGGACAATTACCACGCGTGGCAGGCCGACCGCCCCCATCGATCCGCCCTCCAGTGCAACCAAGGCAGCCACCAAATGCCACGCTCCTCCAGGCTCCCGCTCTGCTGCTCACCGGCGTGATGCTTGGTCACCACCTCGGGTCCGAATTGTCAAGACTCGGTCAGCGAGAAGGGGACGCCCATTTCTCCAATCGCCTTATCAAGGCCGTTGAAGTCGCGGTTCCAGCTGGTCCAATCGTGCCATTCAGCGAGTGCGCCGTCGTCGACTTGAAAGCGCCCACTCATTTGCGCCCACCTGGAAGCACTTGCATGCAGACACCCATGGCTTCCCCTGAATTGATGCAGACACCAACTTAGCAACCAGAGGTCCGTGCAATTGCGCGACTCGCTGCCCGCTTTCTTCTTGCTGCTCATTCGCCCGCCTCGACACCCTCCCGACCGCCGACGACACCACCGCCATCCTCCGGCCTCTTTCCGCACCGGCGCGCTCAGAGGCAACAGTTCCACCGTCCGCCGCCCTCCTTGTCTGTCGCCATGACTGAGGACCTGCTGTGGGATTACAGGATGGCGGGATGGAACAACCTCTAGGCCACCGCCCGACACCCTAAGAGGCCCGGCGCCCAGCGACTGCTTTGAGGAATGATCGTCATGCCAAACGGCGCATTGTCAACGGAGAAAACGGTCCTAAATTTCAGCATGAGGGCCACTGGCTGTCTGGATCCCAGTGGCCAATCTGCCGTTTCCAGAATGATATCCGTCCGAATGCCAATAGTCGAGGCCACCAAGTGCCGTTGTCTTAGTGAGGGGCATTAATTGTCCGCAGTCAGTTCTGCGACACGCTCCTACTCTACCGACGCGGTGCTGACCACCTTTGGTCCGGGGATGACCAACCGTCGTAAGCTCTGCCAATCGCCTCGCCCAGATGCCTCTGATGGATCCGCAATACGTTGGTTCACCACCAACCACCGACATTCAGTGGTCAAGATGCTTTGCAAACTGCATACACCTCGGCGGGCCATGGCGTCCCGGCTACACCACCAGTGGCGGTTTCTCCCTGCGATCATGGACCGGTTCCAAACGCATTCCAACGGTTCTGCCTGCAATCTGCGGGACAGGAGGCCGTCACTGACCAACAGTTCCCCGTTCGAGTTAAGGGTGAGCTCGGCCCCTATTCCCGCTTCTATCCAAACCCGCCTTCTAGCGACTCAATCTCCAACACCGGCGGCCCCCATCCTGAATCTGCCCGCACTAACTCTACGAAACCCAAAACACACCGACAAGTTTCCATGTAGACAACCTCCCCGCCGTCGTTCCATCGTTAACGAACCTTCTATTCCGACGTCAAGTTAAGGGTCATGTGCGTCAAAGCGCGAACCGTTGCCATTGCACGGGAAACATGACGAACATTTCTTCAGCCACCACCCGCGCCTCTGGCCGGCTTGCCCTGCGCAATGCTCCTTTCCTGGAGCTAATCAGACGTGAATGTTTAATGAGCACGCGGCCGCGATGCGCCAATCTCCTGGAGAAAGGGTGCCTAGACGAAATGAAGACTTTATCGCGATAACCAACAACCATCTGCTAGGCTGGGCTCTAGTCCTTCAGAATAGCACATGCGGCATTGAGGCCAGTCCAAGCAAACACGTTTCGATCTCCGAGAATGCCAATCATTTGCCCTGGCCGGCGTCGATCTGAAGATCAACCACCGCTCGTCTACTGAAGAATCCGATCTTCAAAGGCCTTCAATCCGATGCGACACGCCTCCACAATCCTTCTCGGCGTGTCGACGCTCCGCGCAACCCGGCAAAGCATGCCGTCATCGCCGCGTCCCGTCGGCCTCCGCACGTCCTCGCTCGTTGGATGCAAGGGCCATCCCAACATCGGTCCCAAGAACCACAAAGGACCGCTCGTTTGCCCTCAACTTTTCCCCATGCGCAAATTACTTTCCGGTTTGTGGTCGCGAACCGCCCCCAATTCCATAGCTACCCTCCAGGTTGGCAGCTGCAGCTCGGAACTCTGGAATACTGGGACTCCCCAATCCGGGATCATCCAGAACCGCTGCAACTGCAAACCCATCTTTCATCTTGTTTGCTTCGTTACTTTGAAGTATTTTTGCACCCTCCAGTCGCCTCTCACGTACTTACCCGGAATGAGCTGGTTGCACCCGCGCCACCTGCTGCATGACAAAACGAGCGACGCTGAAACAAACGGGCTGTACAGCTTGCTTGCTCGTCCGTCGCTGCAGCTTTCAGGTGGGCGTCTGCTGTGATCGGATGCTACAACGACGGGAGGGACCTCGCATGGCGACGGAACCGACTCGCTGGATTGCGGCGTCGTTGACTCGAATCATACCTAATAGCATGTCAAACACGCTGGTGCGAGCACGAATGAGAAGTCTCGGCCGACTTTTGGATGCCAAGTATCGGACTGAGTAATGTTTGGCTTGTCTACGAGAAGGATGCAACAGCTAACGAGTTCGTGCAACGATCGTGGTCGCCCCGGAGCTTTTCCATGAGACTCACGAACAGACCAGCCCTCCGGGGCAACTTCTGGTCAAATGACCTTGAAGTAGTCAGATAACCTGGCATTACATGCCAGTGCTAACCAGTCATGTTCGCATTCAGATGTAAACCTTGAAGCCCGGTCGCCGCAACAATCTCTAATCGTTGACCTAGTGAATTGAGTTTGTTTGCTTAGTGATGTTGTAAGAGGGTGAGTGATCCTCCCCAGGATCCATCGCACCGAACGATGCGCGTCAATATGGATGCCAAAGATTGGTTGGATAACGCACTAGACAGCAGTGGAAAGTCTTCGAAGTCGACTCCGCCAGATTCATTATGGCAGCCGGCGAAAATCACGTCCGTGACGAGGTAAATTACTTGAACCAATGCTTCGAGCTCAATATTTCTAGCAGGCAACCGGGGGAGTGCTGCTCAACCACGTTGATTGTTATCCCATTTTGATATCTCTATTATCATTCCATCTTACTCTACATCGTCATTACTGTCGTTTATCGCCATGCCTGAAGGAGTTCCTATCTGCGTTATTAGACTATCGTCGTCTACACCGTCCGCATCTTCCCGCATAGCAAACGCTTCGTGAATGTTGCGATAAGCTGCAGTTATGGCCGCAGCTTCAGCGCTGAGATGCCAGTACTCAGGTTCAAACTAAAAATCACAAATGTGGGATTGGATAGTTTGTCCTTCCGGAAGAACCTAATAGTCCATTGTAATTCACTTGCTATTGAGGATCCGGTCGGGAGAGAATACTACCTTGCTAAGACAGGAGCAACAACGAAGCAGGAGTGGCTTGTGATTCTGGATAATTTGTGTCTACGTTTTGAGCCATAAGACGGCAAGTCCTTGGTCTAGTCAGTCTTTGGCTATCGAAAGAGGTGACGTGGGTCGTTGTAGCGGGTCACGCTTCATGTGTCAAGCAAGAAGGTTTTACATATCTTCATTTCAAGTTTGTTCAACGATAATAGGAATCAGATATTATTTCAAAGGCCTCCCAGGGAGATTGCTTCGGTTTACAATGCTCTCATTGGGCGGGTTCTGGCGGGGTAGAACGAGGTGGGACAAGGAGGCTATCTAAAGCGTCGTCTGAGCTGTTGACGAAGTCCGCAACCATAGTTCATGGGCCTTGGCTCATGCGGATCCATCTCGAGGCGTGGTTCTACTACCTCGAGTTCCGAACCGTTTCCAACGTATCTGTTCAAGGCGAAAGTATCAGTATGCGTGGCAAAGATCAGCCCCTCATCCGAGATGGAAACATCTGCTTCATCGTCGTGTGACAGCCCGGCATCGTTTTGAACCAGGAAGTTTATGATTCGAGTACGCTGCAATCTTCGAGCGGTCCGCATGATCATGGAAAGTTGACGTTTGCTTTCAGCATAGTCGGATGTGTTTATCAACGAAAGATGTTCGACCAGAACCTTCAACGTCGAAAGCCGGTCTTTGAGCACGCAAGCCTCGAAAGCATCTTGTTGGCCCAGGCCTAGGGTTGCGCCGCTCTCGAGCAGCAGACGCACAACTTCATCGTGCCCGCCAAATGAAGCCGCCCGGATAGCTGAACCACAGTAGCCATTGGAGTTGGGATCAGCTCCCCGTTCGAGGAGTAGGCGTACCCATCTAGCTGAGCCCGCGAGGCTCGCTGCTTGTAATGCGTTACCAAACAACCCCCCTGGTTCATTGATATCTGGTGTCTTTTCCAAAAGTACCTGGATATGGGCGTTGTTCTTAATGTCGTTCTCGGTATCGTTCTTGATCTCGTAAAGAGCTGCTTGAAGAGCAACGCCGATACCTGAAATTGCTTTACCGAGAAATGTTAGAACCATTGAGTTATATATCCGAAAAATAGTTATCTTCAACTCACATTCATTCTGCATTTCCTTTAACCTCACTTCATTTTCGAAATGTTGTCGTAAAAGTGCATCGACCGTCTCGTAACGACCGTAATGAAAGCCTGTCTTAACCAAAGTCCCTAAATGTGCAGCTTCATGACACATGTCGTTACTGACGAGTGACTGGACTACAGGTTCGTGGCCTCCTGCAATAGCCGCGTGAAGAGCCGTGGGGAAAAGACCATTCTTAAGCGGATCGGCCCCATTCTTAAGCAACACTCCAACAGTGCTGAGATGTCCGCGGAAAGCGGCACCCTGTATAGGTGTTTTGAAGCGACCCCCAATCATGTTTGGGTCAACCCCACGGCTGAGAAGATGCTCGAGCATACTGTCGTGGCCATAGACTGAGCACAGGTATACAGCTGATGCTCCGCGGTTGTTTACCTCACTCCAATTTATTTCGACAGTCTCCTGCTCAAACTTTTCCAGTAACACGGAGATCCCGTAGACAGAGGCGACAAATACTACAAGCTGATGATTTGCATTGAAACTTGATAGTTCTCCCAGAAGAGCTGTGTTCCTTTGCGTATCTCCTCTCTTTAGTTTTTCACCAACTAAGCTGAGCATTTCTCGTTGCCATGCGAGAAATCTGGAACCCCTGCGGTCGAAAGCAAATTGGATTAGATCGGTGTCGGCCTCTCCTCGATGAACTGGTTTTGTAATCTTGGTGTAATGACGCAGCCAATAATAGACCGAGTACTGCCAGAAAAGAGCTGGCGCGATATTTCTGGACTCAATTTCTGGCTTTTCAATGGAGCCTTGGCGAATTTCAAGAGCGGTGGACGAGTTCATGTTTGATGAAGCCATTGATTTGTCGTTAGCGTTATGATATCGTGTTGTCAAGCATCTCAAGCATAGCGAAAATGCAAGAAACTGCAATTTCGATTCGCAAAACTCATTTTGTCCTTGAAGGAACTCTCGGATAGACTCGTGTGCAAATACAACTGAATCAGAGTCATTCTCAGAAACGACAAACCCACGGCAAAGGCGTTTAACAGTTCCCTCGTCGAGCTCTTCCATCTTTGGGTTTATTGTCAAACGGACGATATCTATGAGCTCAGAACTTGCGAGCTGGCGTCCGGAGACAAGTAACCAGCCAAATACGGTGTTCGTGATTTGTCTTGCCACTGGTGCATACCTCTGTACTCGCTGGTACATGTGCTCTAGAGTGTCAAGCAGGGATTTTGGTGCCCGCAGTGCTTCAAGCTCGTTCAGAACATCTGCTGCCACTTCAAACCCGGAACTGCAGAGCTGCTCAAGTTTTAGGGACGCCCACAGGAACATTTCTCCTGAGCCTCGTGCTAGTGTGTGTATTACACGCGTCTTCAGTTCAGGGGATATCATACCCCTAAGTAGCCTTTTGTCCTGTACAGCTAAGCCGACCTTGGTTTTGACAAAAGCAGAGACGTCCTGGGAATTCTCGACATTGGTGATTCTGATTGAATTAACATGCTGCAAATGAGTCTTGACTGGGATATCGTCGCGACTCGAAACGAAGAGTTTCACGATATTTTGGGACTCCTCGACGATATGCTGGAGAGTGTTGAGGAGATCGCGGACATCTCCCTCGGTCTCATCCAGCCCGTCGATGATAATTGTTACAGATGCATCGGCTGTGATCAGAGTAATGAGGTTCTGACAATCGTCGAGAGAAAGAGGGCTCGGTTCCAGTTCTTGAGCGTCCTTGACCCGCTGAGAGAACTCATTCCACACCGATGGATGAACATCTCTACCTGGTCCAAGAAATGCGAGCTGCTTCAAAATGCAGCCCATAATTGTGAGAGAGCTGCAAGGATTTCCATCGATGCCCGATCTTGAGCAGTAACAAAAGGCAACGGGCGGAGTGTCCGAACCGTGACAGACACGGCCAATGTGTTCTTGAACAATGAGCGAAGTGAGTTTGCTCTTGCCATAGCCAGGTACACCTCGAAGCCACAGGCTGGATGAGGCAGTCGACTCACACCATTTCGTGTACTCCTTTCTTCGAAGCAACCACTGACCAGTATTTTCGACGAATCCGCGATGCACCTTTCGGTGGACTTCTAGGGGTCGGACGACTGACAGCCACTCCACGAGTTGCTGACGCTCCTTGGCTTCCAAGCTTTGCTCCATTCGATCGAGTGCACCGGCAACACGCACTACTGGTTGTTGCAAATCCCGCAAGATGCTCATCAGAGAGTTGAAGCTAACGCTCAATACACCCACGGCCTCAGCTGTAGTTGAAGCAAGTTGGTCGTGTAAGCTTGAAGCCAATTGAGAAACTTTGCGTTCTTCTTGGAATATTAATGTCAAGGTTGGGCCTGAAGAAACCACGCTGCGGAGCAGCCTTTTGATCAGGTGCTTCTCGTAGTATGCACCAGCCACCGACAACCAAGATAAGATAGAGTTGTACAGCGCGACCAAAGCATTTTGCAGTGTAGCGTGTGTCTTTGACAAGGGGTGGCGGTGCGGCGGGAGGTGGATGGTTTCCAAAACGGCGCAGCGTGTGATGAGACTCGATACTGTCTCGATACCCTCGGCTAATGTACCAAGCGATTCCGCGTCGTTAATTGCAATTTGAAGTAGCATTCGTACGCCGGCCCAGGGAAGTGCGGCGTGTGCGGGATCGTATTGGGTCGCGACGTCTCCAACCTCCTTGAACCGTTGGAGCCACCGAACGACTTTTTCGAAGACATCCCTGATAACAACCACTTCACCATTCGATCGTCTGAACTTCCATCTGCGATCCATGCATTGTTGCTGTTTTCCATGCACCAGCTTGAGAAGCTGCTGCGAAAGAGTATTATTGTCGACAGCGGCTTTGGCAAGTTGCGCCTCCTCAGTATTTGTCAGCCGCTTCCTCGCAATATCCCAAAGATTAGAGGTGATAGTATCAGAAGATGCCATTGTGCTGAAAGACTGAAGAGCATCGCCAACAGCTCTAATCCTTTTAGAGTCGCGGAATCTACGCACTACGCGTATCGTGGTTGAAAGAAAGGGAGCTCCCAAGGGACGCATACAAGGGTCTTGGTCGGGCTTGAAGTCGGCTTATCTAACCCCGCACGAAACGAAGGCGATTGAAGAGAATACAAATACCGTAGAAGATGGAGCGAGCATGGAGGGCTGCAGTGTGGCGAGGTGCATGTTTCTGGCTGTACATGCAACGCCCTGCGGCCTCAGGTGTTTAACCAGACCATGTCACTGGGCAAGAGTTGACGAGACTGCGTCCTGGGCTGACTGCGCTGTTGGTTCCCAACAGCTCATGGTGGCCCTCCAATGATAACCATCGAAGCGTTCGTTGGTCACGGGACGCACGCGGATTCCCTTCATTTGTCCAACTTTCTCATGCTGTAGCATCCTGTTCAGTATTGCGCATACGCCCTCTTTGTGATTTCGCTAGGTCTAAACCTAAGCTTTCCCTCGAAGCCTCGGGCCTGGAGGAAAGATCGCGACCGCAGACGTCGCTTCGAATCAAAAACATTCCACCTTGGAATTTCCGTCTGCCTAGACGAATCCAACAGGCTGAGTGGTCGTACATGTCAGATTTAGCCAATCATCATCAAAACATATGTATGCACATAGCCCCTCTCACCTGAATGCTCCCTGCCCCAATGAATTGCGGCACAAACCGATAGAGCCTGACCACCTCATTTGGAGAAACATCGCCCTCCCCTCTTCTGGACACCGGTCAACTGGAATTGTCGTTCCATTACACCGATCGATTACTAGCTCGGCAGCCACTGAGGCGCAACACTATCTGGTATTACCGACAAGCCAACATCTCCTATAGTTCAACATGGCCGAGGCTATAGGGCTAGCATCAAGCGTGATCGCCATCACCGATGTGGCGTTCAAAGCAGGCAGCGCCTACCTGAAGATCATAAGGCTCCTGGGTGAAATGAAACAAGTTCCGACAGAGCTACGATTGAAAGCCGACAGAGTCAGATTCATTGAAGAATTCCTATTTTATGCAGAGGACAACCTCTCGAAAAACCCATTGCCAAGCAGTGCTTGGAGCCCTACACTCCTTCAAGAGCAGCTCAGTAAATGTCACGCGATATTGAGCGACGTAAGGGAAATGGTTGATCGCACGATGGCCCAGGTCGCCCAACCAACATCTATTCGGCGGAAGATTGCGTTAACAAAAGCAATCATTCATAAAGATGACTTGAAAGCCTTGAATTTGAAGCTCGACGAAGCGCTGCAGCTGTATCAGCTGGCACAAGAGCAATACGTCCTGTGAGTACACCAGAGGTTCTGGGTATTCATACAAAAAGTTACTAAAAGAATATCAGGGCCATGATGACATACTCATTGGTTCCAAAAGCTCAGAATACAGCTAAGAACAACGAGCTGCTGGACACCACCAACACAATCCAAACCCAGAAATCTAATTCTACGAACCTCTCCCGAAAGACACATAGTGTATCTTACGAACCAAGTATTTTCGGACGGTTTCATTTCTCCTTCCCGGCCAATCGAGGCATCCATGTCGTTGTCCAAGCGCCAAGCTGGATCACGAGTACGGTGTACTCCGTTTTGGCCCAAAAAGCAATGGTTGGCTGGCAAATGAATCTCAGGGCTGATGAGATGGTCGAATATTTTGACTCGGAGCTCGTCGAACTCATTGAAGATGACAATTCGCAGGCAATGTTTAATTACCTGGATGAGCGCACAATGTCCCCTTTTGTGCGTAATTGGAAAGGAGAAACTCTACTCTATGTAAGCCCCCATTTGGGTTCAATCGCACTCATCTTTTGACCATCTGGCTGATAAGAACATCGTGAAGGAGGCCGTTAGATATGGCGCTGTCGGCACCACGAGGGCGTTACTAGGCCGAGGCCTACCTGCTCTCGAAATGCCTGGCGGGAAAGCGGGCGGGTGAGTCGCCGAAGTGATGTTTCAATCTCAGACCCTGCACCTGATAGCTCATTTATTTACAGTATACCACGGATGCTTTTCCATTTGGGGTGTCTTTCAAGTTGCGACATGGACGACAAGGGACCCCTTCTCATTAAATTGCTAGGGGAAAACGGTCTAGATGACCATCTCGACGGTCCCGACAGCTTGTTTGAGGCTGCGGTTTGTGGTATCCCCTTCATGAGCTTTCGAGCCTTGATGGAAAGGTGTGGTTTCGCATACCAGAGCCTACCGAGTGAAGACAAGCTTGCTCACGCTCGCGCTGTTGCCACCTGCGTTGTTACAGGCAGGTCGCAAGCGTGGGCCATAGAGGAGATTCTCTTTCTGGTGAGTGAAGGCAAAGCTCCGGGGCTGGACCTGCTTGAGAAATCCAAGTCCTACAAAGAAGACTCATTGATACATACATTGGCTGCCGGGCTAGTTCATTGTGTGGCTGAGAGGTGGGATACTTCTGAAGATCGGCGTTGGAGGCGTGTCCTGGGTGCCTGCTTTGAGCTTGATCCTTCAGGAGTGCAACATCTCGACAAATTTTGGTTTGTTCTTGACTGTGGTAATGATAGTGTTGACGCCACGCCATTATCAGGAATGCTTTGCAACTGGGTTTGCAACGGAATCCACAAAAAGACAAAGGACCGAGCACCAGCCGTCGCTACTGTGAACGCCCTCCACTTAGCTTTTCGGCTGTGGATCGACACGCTTGCGTCGGCAGGAAAAGATCTTTTGAAATACGGAACAGGCGAAAAGGAACTACACGCTCAGGGAAATACTTTTATGTTTCAGAGGTTTGCAGGGGGTACGCACAGTCGTAAGCGGAGTATGATGCGGTTCTCAATTCTGGGCATCACATATGGCCCTCTACCACAACATTGGCGTCTCTGGATTACCAATGAAAACTACGACTATGCTGGAGAATTTTGGAGTATGATTGAGAGTCAAAACATAAGAGTTCCTGGAAGCTGGGTGGAGGATATTTGGGATCCGCTAGAGATGAGAAGGCTCCATAACGAGGTAGCTGCATGGAGACAGGAAGAAGCGCCGCCATTCATCTGGTCTGAGTATCGGAAACCACGACAGCCTATCTGAATGGTGGGCCGAAAGACATGCGTTTCATAAGAGCATGCGAAGGACATGAATGACGATAGCGAAAGAACCACACGCCGTTGTTGTCCTTCAACATTGTCTACCTGTCTGAAGATACTACAACTACACCAGTCTCAATTCCATTCTTGAACAAGGTGACTAGCTTGTCAAAGCTCACTCCCGCAACACGATTTCCGCCCTGATGACCCTAGTTCCTTCTCCAGTTCTACCAATCTCGGTCATGATCACCAGTCGAGCAGTCTACCAGCTTAAGTTAACGCTCATAATTCTCGGAGTCTTGTAACCTTTCAACCTACCTGAACATCGCTCGCGTCTAGATTCTTGACATAATGCTTCACATCGCCTTCCAGAATGTACTTGGGGTCGACTTGAGGACCGTCATAACCGTCCGGCAGCTTGACAAGAAGACGAAGCGGCGCCGGTATATCTTGAAAACCGTTGCTTCCCAGAAAACTGGCCTTGATCGATCCCTTTGGAAGCTCAAGCGTGCGGGGGAAGTATGGAGCAGAGTCCGCCTCTCTCGCGGCCTGGACCCTGGCAAATCCGGCGAAAAGTGGAAAGGCGTTCATGGCTGTGGATTGAGTTGGAGGGTCTGTATTGGGGAGTAGCGATGTGGACAGTGTAGAGACTTTTACCTAGCGTTGTCACTCTTGTTCCAGGCAGGCACCATCGTTGGAAAGCGGCCGTAAACCAACCTTGTTATAAAAGCATGTTCCACCTTGAGTCATCTCCATAGTCTGCACTTGCCAGCACTCCAGAGCGAGTGAGTCTGAAGATTTCCGCCATGTTCGCCTCAACTCGCAAAACTCGCAATCACAACATCAACGATGCTGAGCAAACATCATTGTGGCCAACTCCTAGAATTTGTGAGAGACTGAGAGCAAGCGAGTGATGAAACGGTCCGCAATCAAAGTGCGGCAGGCAATGAAGATGACAGGAGTTTCTGATGCTCTGCAATCTGCGAACATCAATCAGGTCTCAAGCAGTTTTCTTTGTTGGGATGAAAGCTGATAGTCCAAGGGCAAAATGACTCAATGCATCGCACGCATGATGGCTTTCGATAACATGGCTTGTTTTTACTGCTATGAGGCCAATCCATTCACTGGAACAGCGAGAAAGCTTTTCACGGACACACCGCGTCTTTTTTTTTTTTTTCCCCTGTTTTTCCTTCTCACGTACCCAGTTAAGTATCCAGCATAGTGACACACCGCGTCTGGTAGCAAAGCAGGTAGGTTGGCAACTTCCCGCCTTGGTCGCCGCGGCTTCGGGCCCGAAGTGGACCTACTTCGGCGCCCATGTGCGGGGTTTCTCGCCGAACCGGTGCCGCCGACGGGGTTGTTGGTCAGCACAGCTGATGCCATTCCCATCCGAATCACGACAGTGGCCGGGCAGCGATACACATATGCAGGATATACCAAACTCATCTCAATATACTTAACGCTGTCATCTTAATACTACTGAACTAAGGGAGATCCCCCAACACTGCGTGTGTAGAGTTACGAGTGGCATGCATGCATGACCTACGGATATCGCGTCCAGTAGAATCAAAGTAGTAACCAAGCTGGTAGTCTTATCTGAAGCTTCCCCGCATGCGAGTGCCGATTGCGTGAAACGCAGGAATGATGGTTCGAAGGCTCGTCATTTGGGTTCCGTTGACGTGATGGAATTCATTTGTGAGGCCGCCATGCCTGGAACGAAGTGGTCTTATAATACACGAAGCAAGCCACTTGGACTGCCACGTCCTCAGGTATACTGAAAGAAATCCTACAGACCTCCTGTGACATACTTAATCATGTCCACGACAACAACGACTACGGCTGAAGCCGAACAGGCGCCCATCAAGTTGACCTTGGCTTACGACGATAAGATCCACGATCAAGTAAACCACTGTATCGCTAGATGAAGGTGAAAAGCCATGCTGACAGTAGCGACAGTACAAATACTCCCAATACTTGCCTGTCTACGACGAGAAGACGTCGTTTCCTCCTCTCCAGCCATTCGAGTTCAATGATCGCGGACTTGTAGCCAACAAGGAGAAGCTCAATCTTCTCCCCAAAGACAGTTCCACTATCAAAGCCACGAAACTGACTCCAGTAATCGGCACCGAGATACGAGGCCTGCAACTCTCTCAACTCGACGACCGCCAAAAGGACGAACTTGCCCTTCTCATCGCCGAGCGCGGCGTCGTAGTCTTCCGTGACCAAGATTTCAAGGACATTAGTGTTGAGAAGCAGAAGGAGTTTGGAAGTTACTTTGGGCCTCTCCACGTCCACGTGAGCATCCTTCCCCTCTAATTATGAAGCCATACTGACAAGAGCCGCGACCAGCCCGTCGGAGCACACGTCAAAGACCACCTCGAACTGCACAACATCTACCTCGGCCCCGACAACGAGTACCGCAACCGCAGCAAGAGCAACAAGCTCTCCACGATCGGATACCACTCGGACGTCTCGTACGAGCACCAGTCGCCGGGCGTCACGATCCTGACGCTGCTCTCCGTCCCGGAGACCGGTGGTGACACTGCGTGGGTGTCGCAGACGGCGGCGTATGCGCGGCTGTCGAGGCCGATTCAGACCTTGCTTGAGGGGCTGAGGGCGGAGCATAGTGGTTTCCCTCAGGCGGAGAATGCGAGGCGCGATGGGAAGTTCGTGAGGAGGGAGCCGGTCAAGTCGGAGCACCCGGTGGTTCGGGTTCACCCGGTATGTTTTGACAGACTTGTGAACATGATGAGAATGTCTTGACACTTACCGAGGAACAGGCAACGGGTCAGAAAGCGCTATTCATCAACCCGGGCTTCACCAAGAAGATCATCGGCCTTCGTGATGAGGAGTCGGATGCTCTCCTGAAGCTCCTCTTCAAGGTTCGACACCAATCCTCAACTCATGGATCCAATACTGACCAGGAACAAAACCAGCACATCACGCTGGGCCAGGACTTCCAGGTCCGCATCAAGTGGGAAGAGGGTACCGTAGCCCTCTGGGACAACCGCGTGACGGCGCACACGGCCATCTCGGACTACAACGTCCACAACCCGCAAGAGGGCTTGCGCCACGGGTTCCGGATCACGACGCTGGCAGACAAGCCGACGGGGGTGAATGGTCTGGAATCCACGTGGTGAGCCGCAGCATGACTGGCATTCGGTCCGTTACACACAGATCTCGTAATGATTGGGTTTGCAACTCGGATGAGTCTGAAGTCTCTGCTTGGCTTGTAGACCAGGGAAATGCCATGGAAGCTCCGGGAGTTGAAACGGGAAGAACGATTTTTGCGGGAGGAAAAGTCGACGGGCCTTTGCGTTCCCGCAACTTTCGTTCAGAAACCCAGTTGAGCAGTTGGGTACGGGGGTGGCGGTAGAGAGACAGGTGTTTGATCTGTGCGTCTTTGCCTTTTTCTGTCGTGTGGGTGATGTTCCTTGCAGATAGCTTGCGCATTAGCAATGGGGAAATATTCCGCAGTGCGACCGAGAAAAGTGGATGGGAATTGATTAGCAAGATATCTGTATGCGTACCAATAACACGGCAGATCGAAGATTGATGGTAACGGCCGGATGTCGGATGGCGGTGTTGATTCACGTGGCTGTACCGACAGTCAGTCTCCTCCTCATTCAAGGACCGCTGGCGTGGAGCGTTGTCCCCAAATGTGGAGGGAGTCAAGTGAGAGGAAGAACATAATCCCCTGATTTTCCGAGTTTCGATTTCTCATCAATGGCCCCGGTGTTTCGCGTCTCGTGCAACGAAAATAAAAATGGTGATTCTAGAAGGGACGCGTGACGCGGGTGGAGCAGTTGGGCATCGCGTGTTCCGGTTATCTCCTATGCCTGTGAGAAATTGAGGCTCAGTGCCGACTCTTGTCTCCGGCCGAGGCAGCGCAGACGCGGAATGGATGATTGTGTGACTGATGAAAAGCGGAGCCGTCACGGATGCCCGCAAACGCCAGACCACCGCCGAGCCCCGTGGGAGCCTCAATCACTTCTCACGACAATCGAAAGGGGTGAAGGAGCCGGACACGGTGTGGTGATGATGTGATTGGGCGGCATCGGGGTCCAAGGCGGAGGCCGAAACAACGGGTCTCCCTCTCTCTTGATTTTTTCTGTCAGGTCTCAACTCGAGACCCCTTTTCTGCGTGTCTCTTCCCCCAGAAGGGGCCCCGACTCCCCGAGTGACCCAACGAAAAAGATAGCACCACCCAAAGACGAGAATCCGGGTGCCCCTCGGGGAACGTGTGCGGGCGTGCGCCTTCGGACGGCGACCGACAGGCCGGTTAGACCTGTAGAATCAGGCAAGTGAAGTGGAAGTTGGGGGAAGACAGGCAGGACACGACAGCAAAAGACTGGAGATTTCTGGAGAATGTCTGGGGCTTGGCTGGAGACGCTGGAGGATCGCGAGGAGAGAAGGGCCGAAGAGAGGCCATGGCCGCGGTAACGTCAAGGAAATAAAAAAGAAAACCGGAGCTGGCGGGCGACGTCATCTGACGGGGGCGGGCGGGTTACGCGGGGGAGCCGATCTTCTGAATTGATGTCTGTTTTCAACTGCCACCGGAATCCTTCGACGGAGGCACAACAGGCGACACGGACGGTGGTGGTTTAATCAAGAGTTATTTGGCGGCTTGGAAACAGGTGCTTGTCTGTGGTTTCCAAGACACTTGTTCGGTGATCGGAACTGGGAACAACGGCGCTTGGCGCAGGCCAGATCCGATCCACCCGGTCGGGAGCCTACTTGGCGTGATTGGCGAAGCGGCAGACAAGAGAGGTGCAGGCAGGCAAAGGATAGAAATACAAGCAGTGGGAAGAGGGACTGAAGATTAATTAGGACAGGGCTTGCTGCAGCCCACGGAAGGATGCCGTCATCGGGTTTGGGGGCTGACTCGATGTACCTTGTCATAGAAACTCAGCTAGAAAATACTTACTTTCACTAAAACTGTGTCACGATGCTTTTCATGTTTGTGTTTCCAGCTTCTAGAAGAACCAAAACACGGAGACTCAG